TTACTATTCAGGTCAAAATGACCAATTTTCAATTTTTTCTAGTTTATTTTTTAATATACTTCTTGGTTTCTTTTTTCTTTATTTTTTATGATTTTTGTTTTTATATGCAATTATTTAAATTTAAATACTAATAACGACATAAAAAATCAGCGCCTTTTTTCTGTTCTTTTCCTTTTCCTTTTTTTTTTTTTTTTTTTGTTTTCTCATTTTTAAAAATTAATTTAATTGTAATATTTTCTAGTTTACGACTTTTACTTGGTTTTCTGCTTTCTTTTCACTTTTGACTATTATTAATTTCTAATTAATTATTATATTAAAGTTGTGTTTTTCTTTTTTTCTTCTTTTTTTTTAGTAGAGAAAGGAGCATGTTTTTTTTTTTTTTTTAAATAAATATATACGTTTATGTATATATTTTTATTTATTAAAATTCATTTAAATGCAACTAGTTTGTAGGAAAAAGTTTCATCATTTGCGTTTAAATATTTTTTATTTTATTTTTTTATTACATAGTACGCTAAGTTATATATATATATTAATACATATATTATGTATATATATATATTTGCTTTCAGTGTAAAAAAGAAATGTTTATATATAGTATATATAGATGCATATTGTATATACGCATCCATATATAATTATTTATGTATTTGTGTATGAAACAAAGAAACATTTTCCAAACTGTTTTCTTGTATGTATTAGAAATGTAATTTATGTATATAATTTGTATGCTTTCTTTTTTTTTTCCTTTCTTATATGTAGTATTAAACTCTTGAACCGCCTGCATAAACTGCTCAGCGTTTTCATCTTCACGGGTGCACTTTGTTTATTTATTAATATTTGTATTTTTTCTTATTTTCTTCTTCTCTTTTTCGTTTTTTATTTATTTTTTATTTTTTTTTACATATTTTTCTTTTTTTTTTTTTTTTTTTTGGTTTCTTTGGGCGCTGTCTTTCATGTAATTAGTATTTAAATCTATTTGCTGATGGTTGTTAAAAATTGCTTAAGTTTACTTTCAATCGGTCTGTACTTGAATATTTACTTGTTAAGAGATTGGCAAGCCTTACACTGTTGCTCTATATTCAATTAAACTGTCTTACAATTGTTTTCCATATTTATATTCATATATACTCAGCTGTGTACAGATACTAAAAAAATTGAGCTCAAATTATGACAAAATGTTTTAAAATATTTTAAAATTAATTATTGTTATTATTTTTCATGCTGGCAGCTTGTTTGCTATTTATTTCATCTCTCTATTATATGTATGTATATTGTAGTAATTGTTTGTGCCTAATAGGATCGAAATTTTGTTCTCTTAAATTTAACATAAGAAATGAAAACTATATGTGAATTGTGTTGAGCAAATATCATCAAAGTAAAATTTAAAATTTCACCTTTGTTTTAATATACATATGTAGTTTTTATTATATAATTTTCGCAATGATTGGATTTCAGTTTGTTTTTCTTCTCTTTTTTTTTTTAGTTTATCAAAAGCTAACCTTAACTTTACTGTCCCATAAATTTCGACAATCTTAAAAACACTACGATTTCAAAATTGATTAAAAAATAAAATATGTTCATATTGTAAAAAAAAATGGAATACGAAAATTTAAAAAAAAATTTTTGTTTTTGTAGAGTTTCAAAATTCTGTGTTTGCTTATAAATGGTATCAAAAACAGCATATAAAGATTTCATAAACTTCGAAACTAAATAGAAAAATAAACAGAAAACAAATAGAATCAAGAGTTCTTTTATAAATCTTTCGATCCCCTGCTAAGTCATTCCATATACGAGTTAAACTATTGCAAAATGTATTTGTTGGTGTTGCTGAGCTCATTATTTGAATCTTAATTATTATTTTTTTTATGATTTATTTACGATGTGTGTTAAGCTACTTTAAACATATGACATTTATTTCTTTTATATTTCTTTCTGTTTTTTGGAATTGTATTTTTAAATATTTGAATTTTATATATATATATGCAAATGAATATATATTGATTTTATGGTTATTAATGTTTTTTTTGTTGTTCTTCTCGTTGTGGTTTGTTTTTTATTCAATTTTAGTTTTTTATATTCAAAGAAAAATTCTGATTGTTTTCAATGCACAAGATTTACAATGAGAAGCAGAATTGCTGTAACTTAAAAATTATAAAAGTAAAATGTTAAAATCTGTGAAAGTTTAACATATAGAAATTTATGTTGAGTTTAGGCATGTGAGCATCACTTGAGATTTCTCAGTCTCGCCTGATGCACATGCGATTGTAATTTTTAAGATTTTTGTTGTTGTTTCTATTATGTTGTTGTTTTTTTTTCTTCTTCTTCTTATGTTTAGAAATTGTGTGCTTGGCTAGTTTTGTGGACAGTAACATACGACTTGATCGGAAGATCTTCAAGATACATTTGTATGAAAACATCAGCAGCCAATAATTGAGTGAGTGTCTGAATGAAATGTAAGACTCAAGTCTAATGAATCTTTTCTCTTTTTATATATGTGTGTATGTTTGTTTGTGTGTTTTGTAATATGTATGTATAAAGCTCTCTCTCATGTGGTTGTGTATGTTGTTGTGCGCGCAATACTGGAGCAAAGCACCTAATTTGTCATGCACCCTACATGTTTTGTGTACATTGATGATGTTCATTGTTATTGGTATTTTGTTTGCCTAGTATTTTTCTGGTATTTTTGTTATGTTGCGTAGCATTGTATGTATTTTGGTGTTTTCTACCAAATTTCAGTATTCCATAGTTTAATGTATTTTTTTAGTTTTATTTTTTATGAAAATAAAAAAGAAAAAAGAGTAAGTAAACAGTTTTTTTTTTTTTTTGTTAAATAAAAGAATACCGAAAGATAGTTTTGTGTTCTGTTTAGATACATTCGCTGTTCTCAATCCAATAAAGGAGCGAACCTTTGCTTGAATGTGCCTCAGCGCATCAAACAATAGTTCGATCGATCATTGTTTGCATCACCAAAAAAATCATGCAATTCATCAACACGCAGATATTATTGCTCGCAACCATTGAAATTTCAATCATTTGTGTGTGATTTTTTATTTATTTATTTTAATTTTTTTTTTTTTTTGATACTCAATTAATATTTTGTTTTATCTTTCGCTTTGCCGTTCACATCCAGATGTAATGCAGTTTAGCTTGCATTCCATTTGCTGTGCACTCTCTGGGCTAGGTTTTTCTTTTATTATTTATATACTGAGTAGGGATATTCAGTATTTTTTTACACTGCTCGTTTTTTCTATTTGATTAAATTTTGTAATTCCAATTGATTATATGTGCTTTTCTCTGGCTTCAATTCGAAGGATGGGTTATTCTATTGGTTTTGTTTTTGCATTTAGCTTAGGGATAGGATTTGGTTTTTATTGTTTTGGTTTTTAAGTTTGTTTCGAAAATAAAATAAAAATATTAAAGGGAAGGGTTTTACGTACAAATGTCTTGGATATGTAGCTCGTCATATTGGTTCTGTTTAGAAATGCAGTTTGATCTAAGGGACTCTAATCTTATGTAGTTCATACAATTCCTTAAAAGTTTTTTTTTTTGTTTTTTTTTTTTTTTTTTTTTCTATTAAATAATACTTTTTTTTAGCTGGAAGCAATGGAATTGTTGATCATATGAGAAAAATCTGGAATCTGGAAAAGCTACATGAATAAACTGACTTTAAGTAAAATTTTCAAGAAGATTTAATTTTTAATTTTTTTTTTTTTTGCTTATTTAGTTTTTATTTTCTTGGAGTCAGTTAGCCTAATAATTTGTTAGCTGGAAGAAGAGCCAGCTCATCGATAAAAAAAAATCAATTAACTAAATAATTCGAAATATCAAACAACGTTGGGTGTCGCCTACCATTTGGATCCATTAAATTTCTACTATGTATTTCACTTTATAAAGCTCAATGCTATATAAAGAGGAAATTGAGCGTATACAATCGAAGTCTTCGAAAAGTTTTATGTAATACTGCAATTTCTTTGAAGTTGTTCTTGCTTTCTCTCATTTTTTATTTATATATTGGAAAAGTTTTCTGAGAAAAATTGCTCCTAAAGTGTAAAATATACAAATCTTTAAAGAAAATATACCCGTGTCATTCTTGTCGTCTTATTTTCTTCAACTGCTTCGCCATCTATTTCTTCTTCTTATTTTTGAAATATTTCAAATGGAAGAAACTTAATTTCTGGTTTTTTTGGGAATTTGTGGTTAGGAAATATTTTTTTTCTTTGGAATATAAAAAATGTAAACAAATTTTAGTTAAAGTTGTTCTTTTTTAAGTCTCTTTAGGGTAGGTTTTGCTTTAAGGGATTTGTTTAAACGAGTTTTTGCTTTTAAATTATTGTTTTTCCTTTTTTGTATTATTTAGTCAATGTTTTTTTTAAAGTGTTTTTCTCTTTTTTTTTTAATTTTTTGTGTTTTTTTTTTAGTTTTTTTTTGTGTTTTTTTTTTCTTTAAATGTTTTTAAATTTACTTAAAAAGTTTCGTTATTAATTTAATAATTAACAAATTGATTTTATAATAAAACCAATAACAATAACCACCTCGCCCATATGGCTACGAGACAATAATATGTGGTGCTGATAGTAGTACAGCTATTGTGGCTAATATTGTGAACATTGTGAATATGATAAGGCACAGTCTGTCAACGACCATAGCTGCAAATTTCCAATCATTGGCAATGTCATTGTCCTCGTCCTCTTTACGTAGCTATAGAATTACAATTTTTAACAAATGACGAGTTTTTTTTGTTTTGTAGTTTTTTGTTAAATGTTAATTGTAAATTTAATTATTAATATATATTTAATTGATTTTATGTATATGAGAGAGAAAGTTTGGTTGAGAAATTTTGGAGAGAGAAAAAGAAGCAAAAATAATTTCATATTGGTTTTATTTCTTTACTAAATTAATAGAATTTTGTTTTAAATGCAAACTAAACTAGGGATTATATAGGAATTATATATGTACTTGAAGTGCAACATAATTTTAAAATTAGAAGTATAATTTTAAAAAATCTTGTATGTATATATTTAGTATATGCATGCAATTTGATTAATTTGTTCAAAAAGTTTTCTAGTTTTTGCTGTTACCTAGATATTAAATAAATATTAAATAAGTATGCCTATTTAAGCCTTAAGCCTCTGCAGAGATTTTAAATGACCCATAAAAAACTTAAAATCTATTTAAATATTGCAAAACATTTACAAATCTGTGTTGAGTAGGTCGAAAAATCCTTTTTAAATATATATATATATGAAGCTCACTTAAACTCCACTCAATGTGAAATGAAACCATATTTTTTGCTTGGAATAGTGTGTAAATCTCGTAAGACTAGACTAGTCGAGACTATATATACAAATGAACAGACTTGCTCCAACCAAGAGTCCAACCAAGTTTTATGGCAATAAGAAACTATAAACAATGAGAAAGTCACTTAAACTTGAATTAATAAGAACAGTTTTTGGAGTTGAATTTGTGAGAGCGCAAATGTCGCTCTGCCTGTAGCCCTTCTCCCTGTCCTCATTTTCAATGTGTCAGAGTGAGCTGAAGAGCAAGTTCATAGAGTCGAAGTGGCAACGAGTCAGACAATACAAGTTTAACGTATTGTATAAACATCCTCAGCACCAAATAGACAACTACATATACTCAATAAACTCCCTAGACTATTCAACCCACTTTATATTTCCATCTACTATATAACATGCTCTGCGAGGGTATATAAAAAGCATATATTTATATCAAACATGTGTTCTTCTCAAACGAAAGTAAAGTAATAATTTATTCAAGCCTTAAACAATAGTCTAAGTAGTTTGTTTATGTATGTTGACAACGAAAGCACTTACCTGATCAGTAATAAAGCGAATTTCCTTTAAGATTAAACCTAATTCATATTCTGTTGATGATTTGATGTACGTATGATGTGTCACCGCATCGGGCATTCGTGTGCTGCCAATAGGCCCAATGCTGCCATCGTCGCCTTGCCTGAAAGCCAAATAAGAAAGGTTACGCGTTTATTGGCAAGCCACTAAATTGGGATTAGACTGTGCGTGTGTGTGTGTGTGTGTTCGTGTGGGCCATTGTCTGACTGTCTATCTGTGCTTGTATATGTATATGTGTATTCTTATTTTTGTTACCCATAAACCGTGCGATAGAAAGCCGGATTGTGTGGCAGTGTTCCGCCGGGCGTCATGGGGCGACAATTGTGTCGAAAATCATCATCAATGTCGAGCACATTGGCCAGCAGCGACTTGGAGGAGCTTTAAAATAGAAATCACATTTAGCATATAAACAGATCGTTGGTATATATAATAAATGATATATAAATATATATAGTTAGAGTATTTGTTTGGTTTAGCATATAAGTACCGCTCTTTTAGCTCAACATCGGATAGTATCTGATGTTTGCGCTCGGACGATGTATCCGAGCAGGGCGTTGTCGGAAATTCCAATATCAGCGGACGTCCCGGTCGACTCATGCGCAATATCCATGGCAGCCAGCATAAAAATACGATGCGTATCTGTGATGCGTGCGGCGTGCAGCAGGTGAAAATTGAAACGTTTAGTAGACGGAACTGCAGAGATGAACTCGACTCCAAATGCGTGTAAAACGAGTTGTATTTTCTTTCTTTTTTCTTTTTACATGAGCCCCACTGGCATGTGTGTGCGTGCGTGTGTGTTTGTGTCTGGCTTTGGCCAAATATGTGGCGTACTTAAAGCGAGCAGACAACAATTTATTGAGCTTTGACATGAACATAGGCAAAGACACAAACACACACACACGTACACACACACGCGATTATGATTTATATTTGATTCCGATTCAACAAATACGACGTCCATCCAGGGACAGACAGAGAGTCAGAGAGAGTGAGAATGAAGGAGACCAGTGTTGTGTATGACATTTGATTGTGGTGTTGGGCAACGTGGTGTGCGTTACACTATTACACTTAGCTATAATAATATTTATGTGCGGCGCCTTTCGTCTGTGGCTCTGGCGCTTATTTATCGCTATGTTGCATGCAAAATTTATGATTTACAATAACACACACACACACGTCACAACAGCAACAATGATAACAGCAACGACAACAACAACAACAGGAGCAATAACAACAACAACAACATGAGCAAAAACACTGACAACAATTTTCATACATATTAACTAAGGCGGAGATCCACATAAATATGCACACTCGCACACTCAAACTCTGCTCTATTGCTTGTTGGCTATAAATAATCTACGCATTTACACGCTCACACTCACTCATAAACCCACACTTGACATTTATTCACATTTGATCTAGAAATGACCGGAGGGATTTCTGCAACAAGTTTTGTCCCACAAATTGATTTTAAGTTTCATTTTCAATTAGATTTTTGGGGCAAAGCTTCAATATTAAATATATAATATTTATTTTTATTTAAACCTATTGTCACCTACAATCGTGTAAGAAATATTTCTTTGAAATAATTAAAAAACTAGTATTTTAAAATATTTAAAGTTTGCTTTCGAACTTTAATTCTCGAGCGGATTATATTTAATCTTAGTTAAAATATATAGCTAGCCATAAATTACCTTAATACTACAGAGGATTATCATTTTCATAATTTTTAATATTTATTACTTTCCCTTATGCAATATGTAATAAGAAACATTTTACATCATATTTTTCAAGTGAATTTTGTAATTTAAAAAAATGTTTTTTCGCTATTATTCCAATAAATTTTTAAAGATGCCAATTGTATTTTTAAAATAAAGCAAACAAAAAGTACTAAAAAAAAAAGCTGTCAAAGTATGCTAAGTCTTTCTTTTAAATATTATTATTTGAGAATAAGTACTTGAATTTGTAAATCCAAACATTTGAAAAATATGTCATATATGTACATTTGCTAATATATTATATTAATTCAAATATGAATATATGAATTCAAATACGTAATTGAATTAGATGTTCTACTTATGATAAAATAATTATTTTAAAACTTATTAAAAATATTGATTTTGTATAATAAATTCAGCTCGAAGTTTAAAGCCCTTTTATTTTCTTAATTTTTAAATGGCAATCTGTGTACGACTTCCACAATCTGAACTCAATCTCATGTGCCATTCGTTTATATTCTTACCCGCTAGAGAACTGCAAGTCATGCATTTAAATGTTATTCGATTAAATCTGTTGCCAAGCAAAATAAAGTCAGGCACAAGCTAAAAAGATTTTCTCAACTGCAAATGGAAGTTTTATTTGCCAACAAATCAATCGAGTCGCCCCCATGAAATATTCCATAACGTTGTTTACTTTTGATTAAAGTTCCAAGTGCAGCTGAGTAAAGAAACAGCTAAAATCGAATCGATTGTCAGGCTAAGCTGCACTTCATTCGGTGACTAAACAACGTTTCATTCTATTTTTCTGGCTTGTTTTTTAAGCTTACTTGTAATTTTTTTTTTTTTTTTGGTCACATTGACATCTGCTGCAGCGAGTACTCTACAATGTGGCCTCACCTACTTCCCCCTGCCAATGTCCCTGCCACCCCTTCCATTGTCTTGTAGTTCTTTGACGTTGGCGGTTCGCGCTAACAAGCGATGGATACATGGAAATGCGCTTGAGGACGTGGCATGCAAACCAAATGCAAAGTTTCAAATGCGATCCAATGGAGACTCTGGCAGCTGGATGGGGACTAGGTACGTAGAGCCATGCTATCCATATCGCTGGGCCATGGGATGCGTTCTGCCACAGACCGCAGCTGTGTTAGTGGTTCTTTTTTCTTTTTTTTTTTTTTTTTTTTTTTTATTGCTGGCTTTGTGCAAATTTTGTGCAAATTGATTTGTTGTTATCACATAGAGCAACGTAGCTTGAAGCGAGTGTTGGTGATAGAAAGAGTGAGAGAGGGAGAGAGGAAGGTGGAGCCCTGCCCTAAGCGCTGCACATTTCTAATGCACCTGCGTTTGCCAATTGGCTCAATTTTCATGCCTGTGTCACGACAACTTCTTGCAACTGGGCCAACTGTCGCCTTGCCACATATCTACGTGTGTATTTGTGTGTGTGTGTGTTTGTACTCGTTTTGGGGCTCTACTTCAATTGCTCCAAATTCAATTGCATGTTGAGTCGGCACAAGGGCCTGTCCACATTCTTGAAAGCGAAAAAAAAAAAAAATGTGGAAGAAACGGCTATAGAAAAGTTTTCATGTGACTGACTTCTTAAAAGCCAATTGACTTTCTGGCTGAGCTGCCTTCAGTTTAGCGGGCTCCCTTGCTTAGCCAACTTGTGAGCCAAGAACTTGTCCTATGTATTGTATACGGCTCACAAACACACACACACACACTAGGAACGTTGGAAGCATTGCGAGCTTCCATTATGCTCTTCATGCAATTGCAATAATGTGCAGAAATTGCTTTCCACTTGACGTCTTGGCCATGTTCAATTGGCTCAAATAAAAATTCTAGCAAAAAGAAGAGAGACCCAAGCTCATGATAGCCAGCATTAGATGTGCATTATGTGCTCTGGTTTCAGATATTCTAATTTTGCCAGCGATACGAGCACTTGACATGAAATTGCTTTCAAAGGCACTGCACTATGGGGAAAAATCCAAATTATCGGGTATTAATTAATAACTTAAAAACTAAGCCAGATTTTTTGATCCGGTTTTTGTATTATTAATATGTATACCATCAGAAATATATTTTAGAAAAATGGGCGTGTCACCGCCCACCCAAAAAAAATTTATTAAAATTTTGTATTAAAAATTATTTTTTTTTTTAAGAATTTTGCTTGTTCATACTTTAAAATAATAATTTTAATTGAAAACAATCGAACTTTCATAAAATCGAAATTAGTTTTCTTCAGTTTCGAGTTCCAAATCAGCCAGAAATATTGATCCGCTAAAAAAATTCGGGTTCTTCAACTGATTTAATTGTGCCTTCAACTTTACATAATACAATACGTACAACTTCATTAGACAGCGACCTTTATGCTTTCAAACTCTTTTCTAAAGATTTGCCGAAGAAATAATCTGATCAGATGTATCCATTGTTAAAAACCATCAGCGAAATTATGGATTCTGCTCTCATGCTCTCATGCATGATGAAATTAGTCTGATTTATAGACCTGGTTGGGCAAATCAGACGCTTCCTTACAAAAAGCCTACAGGATGAACAGTACTTTCCATAATCTGCCTCAAATGAACAATTATTTTTATAAACATTTGCTGTCATAGGCAGTCATTCATAGTTGTCAGCTAGTTTTTGTTCCTGCTGCATTTCTTCCATTTGTAATTTATATTTTGGCAAAAAAAAGCGGCTTTTGCTTTTTTAATATCATTTATAAGTTGAATCAATATTAGTCTTATTTAGTTTCAAAATCACAATTACTATTTCTTGGTTAGAGTTGCCTTTTTCATTGAGCCAAATATCACACAGGTCAGCTCATAGTCACCTGCTAAAAATTGATTTGCGCCGGTTGTGCGCAAAAGTGCACATTGAGACAAAGGCACTAAGATCCCAATTGATTACTCTATAACATGCAATTGGAATTACACTGGTGCGCCCTGGTGGCTGTTTTATATGTCTTTGCAAAGTTTAATTTTATTTACAAGAAATGAAATTTGACAACATTTGCTAATTATACAATAAATGATTAAAATAAGTTCAAACATCAATTGGTTTTTAAGCCAACGCATAGTAGAAGCCCTAAAAATTCATATCCTTTTTAAATTTCTCAAAAATAATGTCTGGTCATTGAATAACGATGATTTGAAAATCGGCTAACACAAATTGTAAGCTGAAGGCAAATGCTTTTCGAAGATAACAGCTGACTTTAACAGCTGTTAGGCTTAACAGTGGACTGTTATTCAACATTTTGGGTACAGTACCTTAAAGTTTGGAGTTTTATTAAGATGTTAACATAAAAAAATTATAAATTTTCATACTTCGCAAAAATGACTAAATACCCGAAAAACGGCAAAATTCCCCATAGTGCACTGGCAAGCGGATATACAATATAAATTTCGAATAATTCGCTGAGGAAATGAACAGATGAAGTTTGTTTGCGGCAGTCGAACGTAATTGTTCTTAAAATGAATTGACTTTTATAAAGTTTTAGATATATAAACTGAAATAATTTGAAAAAAAAAAATATATATATATATATATTAGCAGAAGCTATAACTGAATTTGCTCTTTAGCTAACAAATCTGATTACAAAGCAGGCTTAATTTGTCTTATTTTTTATTTTTTATTTTTCTTCCCTTGTTTTAATACATAATTCACTTTATAAATATTATAAAATTATTATGGCAATATTATATTTTGGGAACCTATTCAGCGTAATCAGACACTCATATAACTCTATAAATAAGCTTTAATTAAATCTCAATTAGCTTAAAATAATATATTTAACATAGGCTTACCGCGCATGACATTAATCTCTTTATAATAGCTAACTAATTATGTAATCCCATATTGAATTAAGCTCTTAAATTACGGAAATAATTGGTCCAAAACATAGACAACCTACAACGCACACCACATGACAGCATTGCATACACAAACACATTTAAAGCAATTTACACAACTGAGCCTTAAAAAAGACATAAATATATATAGCATATGTATATGTATATATAATGATATTAGTCTGCACTTTGAGCTGTGGAGAGAAATACGAGTAGTAATATAATAAGTAGAGCATATTGTGCAACTAGCTCAGAGTGAATAATTTGGGTTAGTTGGATTTCGGTTCGATTTCATTTCGTTTTTTTTTTTTTTTTTTTTTTTTTTTTTGTGAATGGGTAAATGTGAACAGGCAGGCGAAAGATACTTATACATATAGACAGAGAAAGCGAGAAAGAGCGTGACATTTGCTTATATAAAGTAGGAAAAAAAGAGAACACAAGTTATGGGCCCAACATCAACATTACGATATTTTTCATTACATAAATTATTTTATAGTAGACATATTTAGTACTCTTTCTTTTTTATTTTTTTGCTCTTTTATAGCAGACATGTTGGCTAGTTCACATAGTTCACATAAAAACAACATTTAGTATTTTTTTTTTTTGTACTCTGTACATCCGTCCGTCACTTTGCTAACTCGTAATATATTTTCTGGGTCACACACACACTCTCATATGGACGCGTATGGGGGTGTTGGGGACTTTGGCCAAATACAGAGTTCTAAAACAACAAAAAACAGCTTGCATAATCGCCTCTAAGTAGGCTTTAAACGAACACAATTATATTGATATTCATATAATAAAAACGAAATATCAAATATACGAAATATATGAAATATATTAAATTAAAAATGTATTACAACAACAACAACAAACGGGGCAGAACAACAATATAAAATTACAATAATAACAACAATTATAATATATTCATATTTATATATATATATATTTTTTTTTTTTTGTTGTGGATATATATGTTGTTGGATATAAATATATATATTATGCAGGTGCAGCAACTAGTAAAATTGCATTTTGCATGACTTAATTTTTGTTTTATTGTTTTATTGATTTTATTGAAGGTTTCCAAGAGCCATGAATGGAAGATGATTTAAGTGAATTATGTATATACTGTATATATTAGAGATAAATTCATTTGAAGAAATGTTTTATTTATGAATTTACTGTAATTATTATGGCACGAATGCTTGCCAAAAATTTGATAGCCTGGGCGTTGTTCTCTATTCAAATGTCATCTTCGTTGCAGCGAGCAAAGGTCTGTTATCGAAAAGAATATCAAATGAGCCTCTATGTACATGTAAAATAGATGCACAAGCTTAAACATATTATTTCCATAATAAATATGACGCTTCCAATGTAAGCAAGCAGAATTATTTTAAGACATTCTCTCTGCCGGCTTTGCAGTACTTGTTTTTCCATTTCAAACTGATAGTAAAATCTCTGTTACTGCATTTAAGGCAGAGCTATACCATTACGTCGTATGCATTGGCAGACTCATCAACTAATACTACTATTTAAAAAAACTCCAATTCTGCATTGCTAACATAGCAGAAGTGCATAGTGGCAATTGAGTTGCTTTATATGTTTCTTGAGCTGCCAGAGCCATTATAAAATATTTCTGACATTTTCATTCTAATACATAATCTAATCTTCTTGAAATATATATACATATATGACTATACATACATCTATTTAATCACATTTGTTTATATTATATTTCAAGCTCTTACTTGAATGCAATGCAACAATGAATCTACTCTAAAGGATCGTTCAACGATAAATTAAATTGCGCTTTTCACCTAATTTGCATTCACTGCACTGCATTTATGAAAATGTATTTGAATATTACGCTTAGCATAAATTTATTTAGGATATATACATAATTTCACTTGAATGAACCAATATTCAGCCGGAAGCACTTCAAATATTTGCGGCATTCTGGCCGAACGAATTGTGGTAAAGCTTTGCAATTTAGTTCGAGGCTACAATTAAAATTTGTAAATTGCTGATTAAAGTTGGTGGATTTAAATGTGAATTTTATTTTTGTATCGTTTCGTTTTTTTTTTTTTTTTTTAATTTTTGATTTATTTTTACATGGAGAAAGCAAAAACATAAATGCACACAAACAACAATAATAACGCAAATTAACTAAACAACAAGTAACAGAGGAAACACAACAACAACAACAACAACGAAAACATTTCTCTAACACATAAATTATTTTTAGCGCATTTCTCACAAATCAAAAAGAATAAATATATATATAGAGCAATATATATATATATATATGTGTATGCACTTGGTTTGTCTCTGTTTTATATAAATTATATGAAAGTAAAGCTAAATGGCTAATGGCAGAAGCAGAGCAGAGTAGCAGGTGCTGCTGCTGCTGCTTCTATGTTTTTTTTTTTTGCCCTGATGATAGGTGATGAAAGGCAGTGGGTGTGGCGGGGCTAACATTTCGCATTACTGCAATCTTTTTATTTTTGTATTGATTTTTTGTTTTAGTTATTTGATTTGGATACGAGTTTGATTTAGATTTGTGGTTTGAATGACCCATTTTGGAAAACTTACCCATTCGGACATTTCGTGCGTATCAGCATTTCGATGATGATAATTTAATATTAAAATCGTTGACACAACGGATGAAGCTACCATAAACATTATGCAATTGAAATATGTACCTGTTGGTTGGTTGGGCGTGTTGTCATTTTTTTATATATATATTATATTGAAACAAATATTCATATAAATATATATATATATATATATATATTTATATATGTGTATGCAAGAGGAGCATAGTTTATATTTTCAATCGTTTATCGTTGGGTGTATTTGTGTGATTTTTCAATGTGGTGCAAATATGGGTTTTCATTGGATTGTGTATTGTTGTTTGTTTATTTGTTTGATTAGTTTTATTAGTAGTTGTTTTTGTGTGTGTGTCGAGCATAGTTCAGGGTAGCATATTTCGTTCAGAATTCATTCAGTGTTTCATATATATTATTGGTTTAGCAAAAGTTATATAATTGATTTTTTTTTTTTTTTTTTTTTTTTTTTTTTTTGAAAGAAAGAAAAAAAGGCAGAGAGATATATACAAATATTTGAGTTAGTATTTTTATATGAAATGCATCAAAATCTTTGCAATTTACGTTTAAGACTTTCTTAATAGATTTTCTAGGGAAAAAATATATTCATATTTTTTAAAAGACACACACAATTAATATTTTTAGTGATTATATATAGAATTAGACACTCAAAAACTGAATTAGATAGTTTAAATTGAACAATAGAGTTAGGTTATATTGTATTTAAAATTTTTAAGAAGTTTTTTAGGTTAAATATTTCAATATAAATTGGAACAAAGTTAAACTGGCAGTATTTTTTTTTTAGTAATAATTTTAAAGACATTAATTTTAGAGATTAGAGAATATAGCTCAATTGGTTGTAATTCAAATAATTATTTTGTATGGGTTGTTTCTTAAGCAAATATGAGTTTGTTTCAATTATGAAAACTGTCTAATAAGGGATGGCATAATTAATTGCATAATAGAATCGATTTTGAGAATTTTTCGTCTTTATTGCTTTCAAGAAACATCCGATACAGAATGGCATATCATTCGATTGGAAGTATTATAAATGGAATTGATTTATCACAACCCAAAAAGGATTGATAATATAGCGTGCAAAAAACTCGTTTTCAAATGTGTGTGCATGTTATCAAACCAACTCGTGTGTTCTGTGTGTCATAACTGCAAATTACGAGTATTTATTGGGAAATTTCATAATAAATTCTCTTTAAAGCTTTTATTTTTTTTTTTTTTTTTTTTAGTTTTTAGTTTTCTTTCATTTAGTTGCATTTAGTAGATTTTATAGTTTCTCTACGGATTTAAGTTTTTTTTTTTTATTTTATGTTTAGCATCAGCTTGCGATTTCTTTCTGCACTTTAAAGTCAAATTGATTATTTAACTTTAAAGCCAAAGAAACTGCTTGAATAAATCACAAAAAAAGCTGATCCAAGGATTTTCTCAGTTTTTAAAATGGTGTGTCAAAGTTTTAATATTATAAGATCATCGGATTTTAGTTGATTATTAAAATCGTTTTAGAAATGCATGAATATATATGAATGTAACTTCAATAGCAACGTTAGAGTTATGATAGATATAGATTTATATAAGTTTTTATATGGTTCTATATACTGTGAACTGTAAACAGAAGAACACACGAACTCAAAAGCAAAGTCGAACGTAGACACAGCGCAACAAAACAAGTATATTTATATATATATATATATATGAGGATATTACAAGAATTACATAGATATGCATATGTATATATAGAACATATATATATATACGATAACTGGTTAAGGAAATGTGGTAAACAAAATGGTCTTACCTAACAGTGGCACGGCATCTGAGGTGGCGGGCATTGTCTCGGCAACCATATTAAGGAACACGGTCAACGAAAGCAAGATCGTAACGCCTAGATATAGAAAACGAATATATATGGTTTATTATGTATGTAATGTGGCATTTAAGTATCTATTTAATATGCATAGAATATGAATTGCAATTAAAGTAAATAAATAACTATATTTTAGCTAGTTTTCAGTTTTAGCATATATTAATTTTATGGTCAAAGCCAACTAGAAACTTAGTTAAGCTATAATGAATATCGTTAAAAAGTGCCTTTCCTATATCCATCATTGCCTGTCAAGCTCGCACTTCAACTACTTAAAGTTCTGTAAGGAGCCCATCAATAACTGTTTATGATATTCAAATTTGTCTGCTTTCCGGCTACACCACACCGTCCGTCCCCCATTTGAGCTGCATAGCTCATATTTTCGTAGCCCCGTCAAGGGCTGCTTTCAATAGTTTGGCTCATCTTTTTCACCCTCAGCTCATGGCGTCATCAACGCCCAACAGCAGCGACGCTCTGCTCACAGTAATAACATCTAATGTGAGACGTCAGTCAGCCAGTCAGTGAGTCAGTTAGTCGGCTCCAGGCCCGTCTAGCTGCTCTCTAAGCACTCATCAACAGCAAGAGAAGGCCGTTTTTTGTTTATTTTTTTTTTTTTTTTTTTTTTTTTTTGAACTGCTGCTGGGTTGCCTGTCATTATTGTAAAAAGCACTTGGCAAATACTTTTAAAAGCGCCTCAAGAGCTGACAAGTATTTTTTTATGGCATAGCAAATTCATATGAAAATATTATATTATCTATTCAACTAAATATGCGGGAATTAACTAGATAAATTTTTTAATTGAAGTTGAATGAGAAATAGGTCAGTAGAGAAGAGCCGTTGAGGCGAAGAAGTGAAGTTTTGAAGTATTTTTTATTGAACTCAATTATTTATTAAATTTTAAAAATATTCTAATTTTTTTCTGTAGTTTACAAATGTATTGAGAATTGTATGGTAAAAACATTTTCAATATTTAAAATACGGCTTAAGCACATTAAAAAATTTCAAGAAATATTTGGTTAAATTTTTTCTTTTTTGCTTACTAATAAGACTTTTAAAAAATGAATAATAAATATATAATATAGAGGAGAGTTGCTCACCCAGCGACAGCTTTTCACCCGAATCCGGAGGCAGTGTAAATCCGAGTAGAGCCATGGATGCAATCAGCACACAGGGTATAATCAGATTAAAAAAATAGTACAATGTACGTCGTCGTATGATAATGGCAAATGTGATGTCTATATACGGTTCCGGGCAGCAATTGTAGTAGATCTCATTACGTTTACCAGGCACACCTAGGAGCAGCGCATGCACCGCATAAAAGATCAGGATATGTATTAGTAAAGACAAACTCTCAATTTGCACATAAATCAGTTTCTCGTGTTCGTTTTTCTGTTTTTCTCTTTCTCGTGTCAACTTGGGCCATTGTCTGAGCTTTATGTCTAAATTGAGCATGGCATACAGGCAAGAGAATAAGTAAATAGTATATATGTATATAGAAAGAGAGCGAGATATATATTTAGATAGAGAAAGTATATTTGGTAAAGCGTGTGAAGAGTAGAAGAGTATTGAAAAGCGTTAAGAAATTTGAGAAAACTTTCATGTCTTTGTGTGTGTGTATGTGTGTTGCTTAGATTATGAATAGGTTGAATAGCTGATAGGAGAGTACGAAATGATATATGCATTAGGTATGAAAGCTTTAAGAGACTGTGTGCATGCTGTGGTTTTCTTCAAGTGTAGTCAAGTTCTCAGTGGGAGTGGCAGTGGGAGAAGCTGTGCGAGGGGGTGTGCGAGTGGGTGTGCGAGTGTGTGGGCGTGTGTATGCTTTTATGCCCTACTGTAGTTTCTGGGCGAAAAGTTTTATTTGCATACGAGCGAGTAACTAATTTGAAGTAAGCGCCGAGACAAACATGTTTCCACAAACTTTTATCACTTTTGCTTGAGTTGTTCGAGCAACAAGCAAAAGTTAGTTAAAGCAATGCAAACGCTTAACGCTCACAATTTGAGGGCTGATTTTTGAAGACTCAACACAGCTATCAAATCTATTTATCTATCTATATTTAGATGTGTGTGTGTGTGTGTGTGCTTGTATATAGATAACTGTAAATATGCTTTAGCAGGTAAAGCCTATCTCTTAATTGCCAACTTAACTTTCATAAACTCATGCCCTCCAAACATGCCAGAGCATTGAAAAAGTTTGGCATATGCCAAGGATTGGACTAAATTATGTGCTGCGCCGGTCTCGACTTAAGCATAGATTACCAGCGCGGATTACACTGACAGCGCACAAAGTATTTAAAAATTATCCTAGCAAATTGTGGAATAGCTGTGGGAAGCTTCCACGAAAAAATATTTTTGCATAAACTGGCAGCCAAAGGCGATTGCCGCAAATTCGCATTGAAAAAGGAAGCAGAAAGATTTAAAAAAAAATGCTGAAGCAACAACGAAAAAAATTTAAAAGCCGGGCAAGAACTTAAGCAAAACTCCCAAAAATTAAGCAGTAACAAAGAGAAATATATATATATATATATATGTATATATACGTATATAGAAAAACAAAGGCGAAATGAAATCATGAAAATGAGTATAAAAAGAAAAGCGTAGCACGTAAATGCAGCAAAAGCAAAAAAAAGGCGAACGAAATAAAAAGACGCAGGCGAAATTTGTTGCACAAACTTTCTCAGCACTTTTGTGTGTTGTGAACTTTTGTGGCCAGTGTTGAGTAGGGAACTTTTTTTGTCTTCCTCTTCTGTGATTGTGTGCAACTGCTAATTTATAGTGTGTGTGTGTGTGTGTGTGTGTGTGTATTTGTATTTGTCTTTTAATTTCTTAATTGGTTTGGTGCGTGGTTGAAAGAGCCAAATCTCTTTCACTGAACAAAAGTTCAGATCTATGTGGTTGACTGTGTATGTGTGTGTGTGAGAGTGTGTGGGAGAGTGTGTGAGTGTGTGGGTGAGTGTATGGTTGGGTGGCTGGCTGTTTAGTTGGTGTTTATGTGGGCGTGCGCAATTCAGCTGCCTTAGCATTTTATGCGGAAAAGTGCAATTTACGCTTCTATGTGCAAGTTCTGCTCGGTTCCTTTTAATTTCTAACATTTCCCAATTCGAGTTTTTATTTCATTCTAGTATTTGCCAGCAGAAGTTGTCTTAGCATTTCGGGGTGGAAGTAATCAAAACTAATGTCAAAAACCATTTGAGAATTACAAAAAGACGCCAATGAATTGGCCAATGGATAATGAAAAGCAATTAAAGAGCTAACAAAAAGGGCAGCATAAAAGGAACGTTATAATAGTAGATACTTAATGGGGATATCTTCTCTATATAAGGTATAGTAGTATTTTCACTATGTTTTCAAATCACCTGCGGCTGGGCTTTACTTAAAAGCTATATCAAATGCTATTTTATATGTATATATTTGTATGTATTATTATTTCTAGGCAGCATTCATTAGAGTCTTAAGAGCACTTGCAGTTCTAAACTGTTTTAGTTCATGCCATAAGAGCTTCGTTTAAAAGAAATAAATTTAGAGATATTTGAGAGAATTTGAGAAAAATTTCTAGGGGGTTGCATACACGGGCCAGGCCTTACCTCATACATAGGTTTATTTATCTTTGAACTACGCGCCAGTGGGCGTGGCATAGCCTAGACTAGCTACAAAAAACTAGATGCCAAACTATGCTACGCCACTGACACGTACTTAAACAATATTTGTTGTTGTTTAAACTAGTTTAAACGAAACGTTTACGCGGCTATTTCGGACTTGAAAAGTTAAAGCGCCCAAGTTTTGATGATAGCTGATTGATATTGATTTTCATTTAATAATTTGTTGATAGAGTGAGTGAGTGGGAGAACACTGGATAAGCGTGTGATTGTTTTTTGAGAGAGAGAGAGTATTAAACAGTTGTAGAGTAAAGCTTAAAGAAGTTTAGTTGGGGTTTGCTTAGTTTGACAGGGTTCAATAGATGCCGTACTACATTCCGTATTCGATGGCCTCGAAATATAAATACATACATAAATATGATAAATGCAAGTTATTAAAATTAAGATGTGTTCAGAACAGTGATGTGAAACGTCGCCAATTGATTGAAGCTGCCTGCGTTGGCGCCTACCAACACTGGCACAACAATCAACGGCTCAAAATATAAACGTTATTTACTTCTTTTTTCTTTTCATTTTTTCATACAGTCTTAGTTTCGAACGGAACGAGTTCGGAACTTAAGCGCGCAACCTGAACCCTGCGTCGGTTGAGTGAGAAATGTCGAATGCCATGTTTTTGTTTCAAGATTTCAGTATTGTAGGTAGAGTACTAGACAAGTATCATGAAAGTCTTCAGGCTTTAGGCCAATGTGTGGGATAATAAGTTTTGCCTCTATCCAGGCAGACGAGAAATATATTCATTATTGTTTCAAGTGGATGACAGTGCCAATGCTTTGGCAGTCATTTCTCAATTTTTCTAATGTCTATGTTTACGTTGTATTTCAAGACAGATAGACAGAGAGAGAAAGAGAGGGAGACAGTGAGGGTAAGTGACAGAGAGAGAGAATGTGAGTTGGAGAGAAAATTGCTTGACATAAGCAACGGATGCCCCCGCTCTAAAGCCAGTTTTGTCTTTATATTTCTATTTTTTTTTTTTTTTTTTTCAAAAGAATTGTTTATCGTTGTTTTCTTGTTCTTGTTCTTGCATAATTTTCGTTTTGTTTCTGGCATTGGCTTACTCACCCAGTAGTTCCCACTCGCCGTTGAGCACGTAACTGCTGATATCACCGCCAGTTTCATCTTGTAATTGCAAATCCAGCTTTAGTTACAAATGGATAATAGGGGGAGAGGGTAGAATAATATAAATATATATATATATCGCTACGCCATCTCCACCTCAAACATAACAAATAAATAATCATTTGAAATCATAAAAAAAAAAAAAAAAACAAAAGATTTGATATAGTTTTGTTTGTTCTTTGTAAGCATAACAACTACGAGCTGTGTACTCCCTTGGTTGCCTTGCTTTTCGCCCTCTCGCAAATTGACTGAATCAAACCTGAAATCCATCATAGGTCCAGCTGCCGAATTTCATTTCGCAGCGCTGATCATCAAATGGAAACCATGTGATATCTATTTTACACGTCGACTTGAATATGCCGGGCGGCACATAGAGACAGGAGCCGTTGTTGCGCACCACGACGTTCGTCTGGTAGGTGCCGTCGAAACCCTCGTCGGCGCTGTTGTACATCAGGACGTCTGGCTTCCAGATGCGATGCGGCGGTATTCGCAGATCCTTAACGCCGCCATAGTCGGACGTATTCCAGCGCAAGTTCATATCGTTCCACTCCAGTTTTAGCCAAACATTCGTGACCAGCAATTGATTTTTCTCGTCCTGCAACGACAGCAAAAACAGAAATTTCATTACAATTTCATTTAATATTCAATTAAAAAGAAAATAGAAACTATAAACAGAATTAACAGTTTAAGCGAAAAGGACATTATAATTAACATAGGATTTGGATATAAATATTTATAAGTGCTGAATGAAGACAAAGAATTTTTTTTTTTCAATATTTGTATTTTGAAATATTATTTAATTATCTAAATATTAAAAAAATATATATTTAAATCCCAATGTCAAGCCCTATTCATCTCTTTTACTTCTGTATTAACTTTTTCATATATAAATATTATTTTGTTATTATTAATTATATATTATAATTATATATTAATTAAATTATTAATAATATCCATTGCTGACAATGACAGTTGACCAAACATTATTAGACCAACATTATTAAAGCCGCATCGCTTTAAGGTATTATGCAACAAATCGTCGAGTCCATTCGCAATAAGCTCAAATATATTGCTATATATAATGAGGGCAGCCCTTTGGGCCACGAGCTTTTTCATGAGCCACCGGAACTATTGCATAATTGATGATTGACGGGCGAAAAGCGTTTCAATTTACAAACAGCTTTAATCAAGCGAGTTAAATTTTTAAATACGCGCTAACCAAATGCTGCTAAAAAAATTAATATATATATATATATATATATATATATATATATATATATTTTCCCCAGGCGCGTGGTCCAATAACCAAATCCGTGCATTACAATAAAAAAAAAAGGGGTTACAGCAACAGCACAGCAAAGACAAACAGCAACTGGCAAACAATTGTAAAAAATGCATACAGCGCACACTGGGCGTATGTGTAATTTACAATTAAATGCTTGAAATATTCAGCAGCGCGCAAGCCGCGTACCAAAAATACCCAAAAACCCAAATCTCTGGGCGCTTAACTAACGTCAGGCCAGGGGCACTGCATGTGTGTGTGTGTGTGTGTGTGTGTGTGTGTGTGTGTGTGTGTGTGTGTGTGTGTGTGTGTGTGTGTGTGTGTGTGTGTGTGTGTGTGTGTGTGTGTGTGTACTTGTGCTAGTCGTGCCTGGCATTTCACAAATATTTTGACCAAACAATTTCCGGGTATGAACTGTGCGCAACTTGCAAGTGCAATCACAAAATGCGCCAAGCTACAGCAGCAGCAACAACAATTGAAAGCATCAACAACAAAAACAACAACAGCAGCAGCAGCAGCTATAACAACAACAAATGGCACAAAATTGCGACAGAAATGCGGTAAAATGAAATGGAGCAATGGCCACGGAAAGTCAAGCCTGGGCAAGAAAGGCCAGCCCAGGGCACAGCTGTGTGGTACCAGGCCAGGCCAAAAAAGAAGTCCTGCCCGCTGCCTAAGGGGCGTGTCCAAACTGCAGTCATCAATATGTATTGAGCAGAGCCCGGAGTAACCATAAAGGGGAGTATATTACGATTGTGCAACGGTCTGCAGCAAAAGCTGAGGACAGAGCGGCATAACTGATTCTCCAATAATATTTTGGGCTTTGATAGAAAGCGCAAGACAGAATTAATATTAGAATGTGTTTCTGTTGCTTTCTGTATAGCGAACAATCTGGTCTATATATCTGTGAGTCTCTTTATATGTATGTTTATATATTTAGATGTGTCTATCACTGCCTTGGCTTTTCAGACTGTCTGTTTACGTGTCAGCCTATCTGTCTGTCTATCGATCTAAAACATTTGTCTTTGTTCCTCTTTTTCTTTCTTTTCATCTGTTTGTCTAACTGTCAGTTTATCAGTTATCAGTATATTTATCTATCCATATGTCAGTATATCAATCGAACGGGTTGTCTCTACATCTGTCTTCATATCAGGGCATCGCAATGATCATCTGTCAAAGACAGATAAGGAGAAATAAAAACATACCGATTAAATGAAGACAAAAACAGATAAAGAGAGATAGATGTATGAATGATAAATACAGTCGAGTCTCGATAATTCGTACGCTGCTAAATCGAAAATCGCGCTAAATCGAAAAAATTCTAGCCCCTTGAAAGAAGTTCGTTCGCAATAATTCTCGATAATTTAAATTTCTGCGTAAATCGAAAAAAAAAACGAATCTCCTTGCCATTTTGAATTATCGGGATTGTCCTGCAGTATATAATTTATTTGACATTTATTTACAAATATAAATATACAAAGCTATCTCAAGTATTTTTTTTTTTTTTTATAAAAATGTATTTATTACATAAATAAAATCACATATATAAAACGAGCAACCAATTTACTACATTTGCGAAGTATCTCAAAGTATCCAAGTTGTATCACGAAAAACATATTTTTCCTTTTTTGGCGCTAACAAAATCGAACTGCTTGCAAATAAAAAAAAAAAAGGGCTCACAGAGTTGCTTTCAATTCAGGATGCGGCAAGAAGTGTGCACAGGACACGTAATATTGCGGTCATAACAAACGCAACAGCAGCTGCAGTTCGTTTGCTCTCTCTCTCTCTCTCTCTCTTACTCCCCCCTCTCAATATATATGTATATAGCTATCTCTCTCTCAATACTGCCATAACATTATTGCACTTGAGTATAGCTTCCATTTCACTTAGTATACTATATATACCCCACACAAGCAGAACCGCAAAGTACGTTATGCTTCCTGGTCCCCGGGGTGTGTTTGTATGTGTGTGTGTGCGTGTCTATGTGAATGTTTGTTTGTGTGTGTCCAGCTTCAACCTAATCAAATTTCGTTTTTCAACAAATTACAAAAGAAAATTGGTTTTTGTGCGTTCCGGTTAGTGGGTTATTACTGTGCTTCGCTGCATGCTGCATAGTGGGCTGTGTTGGGCCGAGGGGGCGTGGTAGCGTGGCCAGTCGCATTATTCGCCTTTTGGTGGCTCAATTTACCAGATTGTTGCAGTCGCGCATTTTGGCGGTGCTTAGCGCAAATTGTTATTGCCTTTTGTATAGATTGGCCCAAACATTTAGCGTTTTATTACACTTTTTGTATTTAGCTGGAAGTGTTGCCGGAGTTTGAAGCAATCGATTTTGATATTTTACTTAAGCTGAAAAACTTTATTCCAACGAAGCTTATAAGAACTTTTATTTATGACAGAAATTTCGTTTTGATGATATTATTATGCATGAAGCATGAAGCATGGAAGGAAGTTTTTGGCAGGCAAAACAAAGTAATAATTTAATAATATTTCCTTTGTGTTGCAATTTATTTATTTACAAAAAAATAAATAAAAATAAAAATAAAAATAGAAATAAATAAAAAATAAACAAATTAAATATGAAAAAGTAATTGAACAAAAAAAGTCAAATAATTCACTTAATCTTATTCTTCATATTTAGTTTAATATTCAATTTAAGCTTATATTAAATAAAGTTACATTCCACACAAAAATTAAATGCAGTTTATTTAATTTTCTTAAACTCAGCATATAAAATAATTGAAATAAAATTTAATCATATGCTACGGCATAATCTAAACACAAATATTAAATAACAGAATTTTTCTTTGGTCCAACTATTTTTAAAAATAAAAGTAACAAAACCATAAAATTGCAAACGTTGCCTAAAAGTACAGTTGTTTTTATTTCTTCTTAACCTCAAACTTAAACTATTTTAAAAATTAATTTTAATTATGTCTCATAGCAATTGAGAGCTTTGCGAAATAGTAGAATTATTTTTCAATCTACGTCTTTTTCCTAAACTCATTATCTAATAGAATGAATGCCACAACTCATTTGGCCAAATGGCAACTTCCTGCTCGCAGCTAACACCAATTATTTGGTTAAGTTTCAAAGCATTCTCTAGACACCACACACACACACACGCGTACACATACTCCCAACTCGAAATTTCTATTTGCATGCACATGTTCATTTGCAGAACTTTCAACACAATTATAAAGCTGAATGTGAGTAAAAAGCAAAAAAAAAAAAAAAAAAAGAAAACGGTGCACAGAAAATGAATGAAAAATTGTGCAGAAAAATGTATGTTAAGAAATAAAAGCAGAAGAAGCAAAAAAAAAAAAATTTCTGCTTCAAGTTTAATTAAAATAAAAATGTGGGCACAGAGGCGTGGCGCAGGCAAAAAGCCAGACGAATGCGAAAATGTTAGCCACAGAAATTGTGGCGCTTATTTGTCGTCGCCTTCGGTGGCCTCTGTAGTTGCCTTTGTTGCTACTGTTGTTGTTGTTGTTGTTGTTGTTTTTGCTGTTGTTGTTGCATGCATGCAAAACAGCAGACAGTTGACGGGGAGAGTGGGAGCATGAGAGTGACGCAGTGGTATAGGCACATAGGGTGCTGGCATTTCTTTTTTTTTACGTGTGTGTGTGTGTGTGTTTGCAGTGTAGTGTAGACGCGAGCATCGAGCAACAGACGTAACATAAACGAGGCTTATTTCCATTCAAAAAGCACCAGCGTATGCATGCCACTCGCTCGCTCGCTCTATCTCTCTGTCTTCCACTGCTCCTCTCTCGCTTGCACGCTCTATGACTATTCTTTTCTCATTCACACTGCGCTCTTTCGCTGTGGCAGTTGTTGAATTTGAAATGAGCGGCGAAAAAGAAATAAAATAACAGCAACAGCAAACGGCAAAATTATTACACAGGCAAGTTGGCTCTGCCCAGAAGACAAGTTTTTGGCTGGGCTTATAATTTGCATATATTCCATTCACCCACGCACACCCACACCCACGCACACACTCCAACTGCAGCAGTTCATTGACTCGCGACGCGTTCGGGGAATTTAAAAGCAGCGAATAAAAAATATGTAGCATAAAGCGCGGCGCGCATTCCCCACGCACACAGCCACACACACACACAGAGGTACAGGCGGGCACACGCACAGTCGAGCCTAGTTTCTTATTGTCCCATGCACTAAAAAAAAAAAAAAAAAAAGGCAAGTGTAACGGCTTGCTACTTGCTCGAGTTCATTACTCATTTTCGCTGATATCCGTTGATATGACCCCCGCCCCCCTCGCCTGGTGACTCTAGGCGCCTTGCTCTCTACTTAATCACTTT